GTATATATGATATATATAAATGCAGTTTGTGCCTTGTTCAACACCACTATTTTTTGTTAATAATACCCAGTTTATTACATAATGAAAATAATAAGATTTTTATTATAATACAGGTAATAATCATCACAATACTTATTTTTTTGCTACAGAAGAGCATAAAAATGCCTTTGAAAAGAAGTAAAAAAAAAAATTTTTCATCTCAAACGATTTAAAAGAATATCAGGTGAGGATGTAAAAAATAAAGAAATACAAAGTGGCTAAAGCAGCATTGCGTTCTTTGATGATGGTGCAAAGCAGATATGAGCACTGCATAATGGGAACAAAGGACAGCAATAAACAAGATTAACATTTCAATACATAGACCTGTGTGATTTGAGGGTATAGCAACACAACAAGGTGGCTTCATCTTTCAAATATTTTATCTAGACACTAGTCATCTAGACACAAGTGCTGAAAATAGCCATGAATAAATAAAAACCAAAAATAAAGTAAATCAAAAAGAAAAAAAATCTTATCGATTACATTTTCAGCTGTGGTAATGACAGTGTATAGCTTTTCATGCATAAACTATTATCTTAGTGGATGAAAACTCATGCACAAAATAATAAGTTAAAAAATGTATAGCCAAACACCAAAAACCCTTTCAATCCTGAACAAAAATTATAGAATCTTATGTCTTCTTTAGTATAGTATATATTAATTTAATGAGTGGATAAAAAATTAGCAATTTCCCCAAACATGATTGAAAACAATATTCTTGACACACACAAATAACAACATAGCCCAAACACACATATACAGTACACTTTAGAAAAAAAAAACTAAAGAATTCTTCATTAATTTTTAATTGTCCTAAGGTCTGTATACACCATCAAATTTTCTTTTACAAAAAATTGTTTTATGGCCATTTATAGTCATGATGTGCCCATATATAGTCATAAAGTGCCCATATATAGTCATAAGGTGCCCATATATAGTCATGATGTGCCCATATATAGTCATAAGGTGCCCATATATAGTCATAGGGTGCCCATATATAGTCATGATGTGCCCATATATGGTCATGATGTGGCAAGTTACATGGTCTTCATAGCACTTGGCTAAGTATAGTGATGAAAAACTGCAATAATGAAAGGTAGCATGCAGCACATGCTGGTTTCTTTAGCATGAGCTTTTGCTGGCATGAAATTTATTTTTTAGTTCAGTATTTAATTTTCTACTTTACACACCTGAAGACCTGCCATTAACTGTCAGCGAAAGCTGCTGATAAATGACATCTAATAAAGTCAATCTCACAACTACATTTCATTTGCAATTCATCCTATAGAGTTATAATGATTATGCAAATTTTGTGACTTAAAAGATTATTGGTAGGTAAATCAAAGGTCCAATTGGAAAAATTCTTGTCTTCTTTTCACATTTAAACATACATTCACAAACATAAAATACATATAGTGTTAAGAAAAATGTGAAGTGAAAAGAGAATATTGAGAATATAATAAGCATATGGTGTTTCATTCAAATGTGTGTATCACCTCCATATTATAATCAGCTGCAAACACCCGCTTGACCTAATAAATGGAGAAATGGAGTGCAAACAAAAACATAAGCAGTAGGGAGGAAGTGCCAATCAAATCAAACTACATTACATTTAGCATTGACAATTAATCAATCAATCAATCAATGATTTTAATTGTAAAAAACATGATGCGAGTCCATTTTATTTTACCTTGTTTCGCGAACCCACCGCCAGTCAATAATGATGATTTCAAATAAAAATAAAATTTTATTTTTGGCCACTTAGTGCACCCACTGTCACATAAAATGGTAATTTAAGAAAAAGACCCTCAAATTTTCATCTACTTTGATTGCACACACCGCCACCTTGTAGTCTAGGACCTGACTAAGATTTGTATGCACTTCATTTAGGAGAGAATAGCTCAACTATTATAGACTAATATGAACCCTAGGAATAACATGGGATGTGTGCCAAAATCTCTATCCGAGACGAACAGCCCGAAAATGACCACGCCCTTTATTAAATGACCACACCCCCTTTTTATAGGGTAGGGGTATTTTGAAATTAAGCTGGACGGTATAAGGAAATAGCAAATGAAGGGGGTTTTTGTTCAAAATGAGCACACATGACAAGGAGATTAAATTCCTAAAATTACATCTTAGTCACATTTTCCGTTCATATGCAAATTAGCTTATATATGCAAATTAGGAGTGAAAAATTAGGGTTCCCATGTGCTGAGAACCGCTGGCCTTAGAGAGTACCTTTCTTTTTCAAATTATTCAGACCATATTTCTATTTGCTTTAATGTGACATTTGCTTAAAAAAATTACCGGAAATGCCATATTTGACTTTACTTGCAAACTTTTTCATATTCCCACAACACTGACTGTAAAAAGTTAGTTTTGGTCTCAAACTACGCATATTTAAGTTTCGAATCACTGTAGTTCACTCAGAAATTGCACAAACTACGTTCCTGAACTTGACCCTGCAGGCCAATATGCAGCTGCAATACCATAACAACAGTTAATTTTGGTATAAATTGTTTAAAAGGTAAAATTTTATATTAATCTTGGCAGATTATCAGAAAATGATGAGCAATATTTTATTTTTAATTACACTATCAACAAATGCTATCTTTAGGATTAGTAATGAAAAATATATTTAAAAAAAAATTATTACATCCTCTAATAGGCAGCAGAACGTGAGTAGTTTATTAATTATATAGAAAATGTATTTTCAAGCATCCTATTTTAATCTTGAGGATATTTCTCGCCCGATTAAAATTGTAACGGTAGGCCTACTGGGTTTAGTGTACAGGAGTTCGTGTTTTATACAGGTCAATATCCTCGAGATGCAGTACAGATGACAGAAACCTTTTCGGTCAAGTGTCTTAAACCATCAACAGACCTGGAGAATTTTGACGATATAGGCCTTGCTGCATTTGATAGCAATACTCAGATGGATTTGGAGAAAACAGCTTCTACTTCAACTAATGCAAGAAAACATCTATAGAAGCTACTACCTATGGCAGCTGTGGTCCAAGCCCCATTTAGATATGCCACATCAATTATCAATGCTGAGAATTTTGGTTTTGTAAGAATTGGCAGTTTATTAAGTCCCTGATATTGTGATCTTGAAACCTGATGGCCCCTGTTCCCTGCAAGTGTGGCAAATATGCTCGCAAGAATTTGTATCCCTGTAGAGAGCTAGAATAAAGTGTTGTAAGTACTGTAAATGCAAGGGTGGTGATTGCTGTAAAAACCCAATCACTGAGTTAATGCTGCTGATTGATTGAAATACAATTTATTGTTAATTTCTGATAAAACAATAACTTATAAACAATATGACATCAAATTCAGTATATTTGACCTATTATTATGAAATTACACACAACTAAAGTGAACTGCCAGGTCAACGGTCAAAACTGTAGACTAGTCTAATTTGAACCAAAAATTAGTAAAACTAATTATATATGAATAATTTGAGACCGAAACCAAGTTTTTACAGTCTGTAGACATGGGAATAGGGAAAGTTTGTAAATAGGGTAAAAGGTCAAATATGGCATTTCCGGTCATTTTTTAAGCAAATCTCACATTAGAACAAATAGAAACATGCATGGTCGGAACAATTTAAAAAAGAACTCACTACAACCAGCGGTTCTCAGCACATGGGAACCCTAATTTTTCACTACTAATTTGCATATTCAAGCTAATTTGCATATAAACGGAAAATGTGACTGAGACGTAACTTTAGGAATTTAATCCCCTTGTTATGTGTGCTCATTTAGAACAAAAACCCTTTCATTTGCTATTTTCTTATATTGTCTAGCTTAATTTCAAAATACCCCTACCCTATAAAAAGGGGGGGCGTAGTTATTTAATAATGGGAATGGTAATTTTCGGGCTCAGTTCGTCCTGGATGGAGATTTTGGCACACATCCCATGTTATTCCTAGGGTTCATATTAGTCTTTAACAGTAGAGAAATTCTCTTCTAAATGAAGTGCATACAAACCTTAATCAGGTCCTCTATTATTGAGTAGATTTCCAAAATATACATATATTTCTTCTTTAAGCCGATTTATATAAATTCAAAGAATTTATCAATCCCAATCAAAACAATTTGTATTTTAATTTTCTCCTCCACATGAGGCATGTTGGACGTGGCGAAATGGTTAAGTTGTCGCACAGTCCAGTATTGAGTATCAATATGTTGTTGATGTTTTTTTTATTAAATTTTTATTAAGTGTTTGTAACCGTGCCAATTCAGTTTTTTAACTGCCGGTCATGGATGTGTGTTTTTTATACCGAAATAATAATTTAAAAAAAAAAAAAAAATGTGGGAGTTCAAAAAATTGCCTAAAAATCCAAATTTGTTTTTCACTATAGATCAACAGTTTAATGTCTTATTAATCATGTCCCAAAGTTTTAGTTCTGGAAGTGGTTAACAAATTGTTTATTTAACGTTATTTTTCATAGTTCATTCTATTAAACAATGTATGCACAAATAACTTTGAAAGGCAATCACTCAAAATCATGTTAATCTTGATTCTAAGAGTACTGTATTTTCACTTTTCAATAACTTAGGCTTGAAATGTCAAATTTGAATGAATGACCCCTCATTTTAAAGATCACATACTCAGGTATCTGAAAATACCAATAACTTGAATTTCAATTTTTGCTACAACTTAGACATTTTGCCACAACATGTTTGGACAAAAACATTATGGAATATAAGAAAACAAAATTTTATTTTTTTTTTTTCCCACTCTCCTCTGACGGTATTTAAAAAACATAGGTTCACTAAAAAAGGTATAAAATGGTCTCGTCTAAGAATAGTTCAAACATCTAAGTCTCAATTAATCAATCAATCTTGAATGACACTAGCAAAAATAGATAGTGATTAAATACTGTATGTAATCCCTCAAGAAATCAATGAAAAAAAACGAATTATGCTGACAGTATAAAAATAAATAATTGTCAACCATTCAATGATTCAATGAAATTATTAAATTAAAGATTCAATTAAAAGACACAATCTTTAATTAAATATATTGAATATACATAACATTAATTTTAAAATTCTCAATTTAATTTGCAAATCAATCAATCAATTGAATAATCAATCAATCAATTAATCAATCATTGTCAGTGGTGTAACGCCTATGCGCTTTAATGCGGCGGTCCGCAGGGCCCCCGAATTCTTGGGGCCCCGATCTAGCACCCTGATAAATACTGTAAGACCATAATGTCTCTGAAATCGACTGTAGGGCATATATCATATTATAACGATTAAAGAAAATTGTCAAAAAAAAAAGAAAATTATATGCACAATTTTTAGTCTGTGAGTGCCATTTGCGGCCATCTAGACGTTCCATAGTAATACATTTTCTTACATCTGCCCCACAAGGGCAACAGCATAATGTGTCTGAAATCGACTGTAGGACATATCATATTATATCCTGTGGTGGAATAAAGAGTGAGGGGGTGGGGGAGCTGCCGGCCTAGAGCTGCTGACCCCACTAAATTTGTCAAAATATTTTTTAACTGGAGAAAAAAAAAAATATATATTTACAATTTTATGTCTGAGAAGTGCCATTTCCGGCCATCAAAAGGCCGGAAATGGCACACCTAAAATCCCACGATGGAATTGGTGACTGGGACCCAAAAAGGGCCCCCAGTTTCAGAAATACACAGGGCCCCGACCCCATCGTTACGCCACTGATCATTGTTTCCATCATTCCACAAAGCTGTCAATCAGCCAATCAACAATTAACTGATTGACTGTACAGTTAAAAGTCCTTGGAACACCATTGTTCATTTTGTCATTGCCACTGTCTTAATTCATTGACATAAAAAAATCTATACATCAATCAGGCATTTAGTGATTATTAAATTAAAAAAAAAAAATGTGCAATCCACCCTTTGCGCTTGGTTTCCTCCGTAGTAGTGATGTGATTTGTATGAGGTATTAAATCAAAACATTGGATACTCAATAGCGAAGTTGTCCTGTAATATCTGTTAATCATGGTTAGACTCTGTTTGGTAAGTAATTTATTTGAGAATATCATTTATAAAAAATTAAAAAAAACTAATTCAAAAGTTAGCATGTACCACATAACAGACTTTTATGTTTTTATAATATTTTAATATTTTATCACTGTACATTTTTAAAAAAGTTGATTTTAAGCTGTGATTTTAAGCTTGAAATTGTACCTTGTGCAATGCTAGGCCAGCCAAGGCCAGGGAGTTGGTAGTAATATTAATTGCCACAGTCCTACAATAATGCACCATGGATATACTTCCCAATGTAGACAGCATTCCTATGGCTATAAATATATTATATATTTTATTATGGTTATGGCTAGCATAAATGGTAAATGGAATCATTGATCACCAACCAAGACAAATGCATGTCTCAGGACAATCTGTCTGGCAGGCGGCATACGCTGCACAACTAGCAAATCACTTCAGTTAAGGTTAGCTAGTAAGTTTTATGGGATTTTTTAAATGTTAGTTTCTAATATATCATTCACAAATATCGTATGGTGCTAGACGTTTATTTTGGCTATGTATGGCTGCAATAAGCCTTAAGAATAATTTTTAGATTTTTAGGCCCAAGTCTGTGTCCACAGCAGCAGCTATAGCAGGCTGCCTACTAACTGTACCCACAACACTTGTCCAAACTTTACCACTGCTTTCTTTCATGGGTTTCTAAGGTCCAATTGCCTAATGTCTCTCATGTAATATTGAAACACTTGTTAGTGATAAAAAGAAATTTCACTTTAAATATACAGAAACAGCAATTATGATGTCGTTTACAACAGGCACATTCAGCAACAACACTCGCCGAGCTGCCATCTTTACAGTGTTATTAACGATCGTTCAAAACAATAGCAAAGTGGGGTACCTCATACAGATTGCATGGCTGATCAGACGCAAAAGGTGGATTGATAAGTTAAAAAAGTAATGATATACTATTAAATACAAACATTACAAGTAAACTGTGAATAAAAATGTGAATTTCAATATAAACTTTTTACATTTACTCATTTCAAACTTCAAAGATTACTTAAATTAAAATTGTTTAAAAATTATTTTTGAATAAAGGAAAGCACACAATTATAAGCTACTTCAATATTTAAAGCTTTCAAAATAATTGAAATATGCAATAAAAATATTAATAAAGAAGAAACATTTTAATATATGTACTTCTTCTTACCGTGTCATTTGCATCGGATAGCTCAACTTCCGCTAAATCTACACTGTTATAATTTGGTTTGGTCTCATTCCCCCATTTAGGCCGAAGGTCAGGATGAAACAGGATGTAACCATTGTTGGTGATGGCAAAGGGATAACCCCGAGCACCAAGCTGAGTTTATAAGAAAAATGTAAACCAATTACACACACCAATTACATAATTGCAAACGAACAAATACCGGTATGTCTTTTTTTTAAAATCATATTTATAGAGGGTGGTCCTTCTAGCGTATCCTAGAGTGCCGGCTGATATTTAGGAGCCTTCTTAAATATGAAATAACGTGATACTTTATTCATTACGAGGCTTAGGGAGTCGAGATGTTTATTTAGTTTTTAAAAAAATCCTGGGATTTCAAAGGATTTGAACCAAGGGTGCTGGGATTGGAAGGCAAGCACCTTAACCACCAGGCTACATCTCCACTTCCATATAATACTTACAGTAGGTAGCAGACCAGAGTAAATTGTACTAAAAATTTGCTATAGAATTGATGATCTTGTACTTCTTAGTTGCAAGAACAGAATCCTGCTAACTTGCAGGACTTAACCCAGAATTGGGATTGACAGTGAATAAAATGACTAGCAAGCGGAAGCGTTGCTCTATTTACAGTATTTAGTATTTATTTTATTATTTTAAAAAATTTCAATGTAAATTACATGCAATCTGGCTTAGTGACCACAAAGTGTAATTTAAAAAAATGATGAAATATGTTAAAAATAATGAGATGTATAATACTGTAAATTGCATAAATTAGTTAATAATTAGCTGAAAATTCTTTGAAATCTGTGACTGCATAGAGTTAGAATAGTGTTAAAGGAATTTTTTAAAACGTGAGCGTGTGAAGGTGTTCCAGGGCACCTTTAGGCCTTTGCTCAAGATACAATTGTATTACGGTTCAGTAATTGGACTAATACATCTTTTTGGCAGGTGCGCCAACAAGAAATCAAATTACATTTTTATTCGAAATAATCATTATCTGCGAAAACTGGATTCACGAAAGTATAAAGCATAAAGTCTTGGTGAATGTACACAGTACCTTGTATACTGGTGTCAACTTGAGAAGTTCATGAACTGGGACATCAACTCCAACTACACCAAGCAAAATACCCTGCTTTTTCTGTGGCAAATAAATGCAAACATGTAATAAAGCACAATGAATCAGTACCATGCTTTTCAGTTCATTATGCTAATGAACAGCCTTGGATTAATCCCCCCCACACCCTATTTGAATGCCTACTAGCCTCACCCACTTTGTGCAATCATTTATTTTATCATGTTTTTGATTTCTATTTTAATGCAGCTATATTTTTGTAACCTTTTTAATATTTCTGATCTGATTTTTAATTAATTGAAGATTAATTAAAAGAGCCCAAGCCAGGATGAAAACTTTTTTTGTCAGAACAAACTCTTAGGAGGAGACTTAATTTGGGGAGCGGCCAAGTGGGGGTCCCAAGTGAAGGGGGGCCCATGTGAGATGTTGCCCTGGGGCCCTTACTGGCTCTTGAGATCCACAGTTCATTCAGCTGAGTCCCCTATTAACAAGGGTTGCAAGACCGACAATGTTGAGGATTTCAGAAAGACACCTGTAAATGTCATAAAATAGCACTCTCAAATACCCTAATAAAAGATTGGTTTCTCCAAATACAGGGTTCTCATAGACACCACAAGTGCTGCTACTGTTTCAAGGCCTACTTTTTTGTACTCATGGATGGAAATGGATAGTACAATAGCAGTGTTCTGGTATGAAAGCAATGTATGTTTAATGGCAATAAAATTCTATTATTATCAATATTCTGCACAGAAGCAAACAAGTGTGCTATTCACTAATTTATTTTGAATGAGGCTATTGTATGCATGATTTACTACTTTAGAAAACCTATGTTGAACACACTTGTATTGATCTTATTTGTATAAATTATATTTATGTTCTGAAACATGTCACACCTGCTGTATAAAATTCTTTACTGACTTTTAGTTTAAATGTACAAATTAAATATTATTGGCTGTTGGTCACTTTTGCATTTTTAAACTGTTAGATCTGGCTTGTCTACTCATAGTAGTAGTAATAATAATAATAATAATAATAATAATAATAATAATAATAATAATAATAATTAATAATAATGATGGCGATGATGATAATAATGATGATGATGATGATGATGATGATGACGATGATGATGACAATGATGATAGTGATAATTGTAAATAATATTAATAATAATTAAAATGTGAAGAAAATTGTGCTAAAGGCAGAAAATAAAGTTGATGATGATGGAATTTACTATGTAAAAGTGTCATTTCCAGCCATCTAGAGGTACTATTTCCTCAAATTTTTTTCACATCAACCCAAACATGGTAGGGCTAGGGTGGTTGTGAAGTCACGGTTTCGAAGTATGTAAAGTACATGCTCAAAGACAATGTTTTTAAGCTTTGTTTTCTATGGTATATCACACACATTAATAAGATCTCTATGGTTGGCAAAAATCCCTCATAAGAGACCAATTTTTGTTTGCCCTTCATTTGGACTAACGGGATGTGATGAAAATTAATTTTCTAATGTGTCGTTTCTGCCCATATAGAGGTAATATTTCTTCACATTTTCGCACCTCAGCTCCAACCATGGTGAGTCTGAGGTAGGTGTCGACTCACAAAATGTCCTTCCCCTCCACCTTTTAAAAAAGATCTGCGCCCTTCCCTGGGTATCACAATAAACTGCATAGAGTCGGCACCTGACTCAGAGTATGTCTTGGGACTGCTGAGCAGAGGGCGCACAAATTTGTTTTTAGGATGTAATCTGGGTTTTCATGCCCATTTTTCGTGATTATGACCATTTTGTTTAAGAATTTTTTTTAAGAAAAAAAAAAGGAAAATATTCAAATTTAAGTATGAGAGTGTAATTTCCGGCCATCTAGAGGTGCCCTAATCAGAAATTTTCTTACCTCAGCCTCAACCATCGTGAGGCTGGGGTGGGTGGTTCCCCAGTCTGTGAAAGTCCTTCCCTGGGTCACCTCTCTTTCGAATTCCTGGTTCCACAGCTGCTGATTTATTATAATTATTGTTGGGCATACTAATTTTATTTATGATGCGTCTAATGCAATTTTCACTTTATCTTCTCAAAACAGTTCTTAAAACGTTCAGAATGCGCTACTTCACAGCAAGATTCGTCTCCCTGGACCCCGACGGGATCCTACCTAATTCGCATAACAGCTCCTCCCCTTTCAAAATCCTGGCTACGTCCCTGTTTTTGTATACTTTCATTATCAAACTTACAGTATCATTCTTCTTGTTAAATACAGGCTGCGCTACAGTTGTCATCAAAGCTAGGGTCTAGATGAAAATAAAGAAATAAATTACAAATTCTGTAAATAATCTGACTATTTAAGTAGCAATAATGTTAAAATAATTTGCATTTAGAATGGATCTGCCACATAAATAACAAGGTATACTCAATGATTTCAAACCTTTTTTGAGGTAACTTCTTTCTATAGTTAAAAACATATTAACTTCTTTGATTAAAGAGGCTGTCTAACATGAATCATAATAGTTTAATGCATTTAAAGAGAAGGTCTTGTATTACCAATTCCTGTATTATTATCATTGCATAGAATAACTGAGGATTTTTGCCACATCAAAACCAATCAAAGTATGGCCAACTGAGGATGTTTACAACAATAATGGCAAACAAATGGTCACATGAATATGTTACACATTTATAGAATTGAAGGTCAAATTTAATGTATTCCTCCAATATCAGTTAAATTTCTTAAAAAATGAAAGAAAGAAAAAACAAAAAAAAAACCTTTAACAGAATATAGTGAAAAAAGAAGGAATTCATTAAAGCAACCTGTACGGAAAAACTTTACTAGCTCAACTGAAGAATTATAAATATCAGTAGGTTCAATTCTTATTGGTTACTAAGAGCACCTTTGAATTTAACAGAATTTTTCAGTAAATGTATACTTCATATTGGATGTCTATTAATACACAGTGGCACATCTAAGGGAAGAGCTTCAATAGTTCCATATGCTTACATATCAATACATATTATATCTGTCTCTTATACACATCTAGATGTGTATAAGAGACAGATATTGGTCAGGGGTAGAAGGACTATCATATTTATTTTCCAATCCAATCAGGCCATTCAAAATGTTGCAATCAAATATATGCACATTCACCAGTATCAACATGCAAAAGCATTGTAATTATATTTTACATGGATACGTAATTCTTGGAAGAGATGTTATTTGTATTTATCTTATTGATTTGTTATTCATAATTCATCATGGTAATCAAAATCTTTGTAAATATTTGATCAGGTGAGATGAGGTTTTATCACTGTAATTTATTTATAACCTGAATAATTTAAACAGTTTGTGTTGTATTCAATTACTAAAGAAATGTTAATTATTATAATATATTAATAATATAATTTAAAGAAAGTGCTCAAACTAGAATAGCAATTATTTAAATGGTGCAACAAAACTTGATTAAACAGAACATTATTCTATACAGTAGTTTGTCAAAAACAAATGTGAAAATGAGCCTCTATTTACCCCATCTGACAGTCTACAATAATAATCAACATCACTGTAAATATCCCTATATAATTTTAAAATATTAAATACACATAAAATTTTAATTGTATAAAAAAATATAATTACATCATCACTGGCTGCACTATCCATATACACGCTTGTCCAAGCCGTGTTGTATATTTCTTTAATTACCATTGGACGGCTGAGAACATGGATATATTTCTAGAAAGAAAGCAAGAGATATCATAATTTATATCGTCTTTGTTATCATTATGATCATGAATGTCAGTGTCGGGAATAAAATCATTGTTATAAAAATTATTACCATTAAATCATTATCATTGCAAACTATCAATATCCTTATAAACAATAAAAATATGTTTTACATATATTTTGAAGTACTACACAGCAAATATTTATTGACTTAATGTTAAGCCTCGAAAATTACATTTATCACAAATAACAGCACCAGTATTTTCATTATTATCATAAAGATCATGATCATAATGATCATAATCATAATCTTCATCATCATCATCTTCATCTTCATTCTCACAATCATCATTTATTCAATCATCATCATTCTACTCATAATCATCATCATGGTTGCAATGGTGTAACAAATTGAAATGCTCATTAATATCCCAGGGAACTGGCTTTAGCCAATGATAGCTCATAGTTGTTAAGCTACAGTAGGATTTAAGTAATCAAAGAAAGTTACCGAAACATTTTCATCTACATCAGCTATTGTGGCAATCTGTGTATAATAGCCTGTAAAATAAAATATATTCAAATTCGACTAAATATAAGCCAATCACTCAAGAGGACTGAAGAGGAAAGAGAAGAGAAGGTGTGGATGCAGAGAGAAGTATGAGGAAAGAAAATATGGATTAGAAAGAATAGAAAAGAGATGAGATGAGAATATATTAGGGGATAGAAGTGAGACAGGCAGAAAAAAAAGGTGCGCCATGGAAAAGCGAATAAGTTCAGAGAGGGAAGAGATGAAAAAAGACAATTAGGGGTAAGATGGAAAAAGAGTGAAGCATATAAAACTTCAACATTGTAAATCTCACCTTTGTTGTTACATGCCATCTTCTTAACTGCCGGAGCTCCTCCAACCTCACGTCCCATTAGGTATGTAAACACACGCACTCTCTGGTCTTCATTGTACCGTTCAAATATATCATCATGCGTCTTGCTAGCACCATCTGTTATCACTATTATAGCTTGATTGCACTCACTTTCACTCGTCGTTTCATTGTACTAAAATGTTGAAAATGCAACATACACCTTAGGATTAAACTTGCATACTGTGAGTGATTGAGAAGAAATTGTTATTAATACACTGAATAAAGAAATATAGGACACAAAATCTTCTATTACCTTTAGAAGAAGCTCAAATGCATCTGTCAGACCAACTCCAAATTCTGCTAGACCCCCAGCTTTCAAATTGTCTAGACTTTCCTTAATTAACTGAAAAAGATGAAGAAAAAATTTTAATAATTTCTAGCTGGCAACAGCACACTTTACTTGGCACGAGGAATCCTTTGGAATAACGCATAAGAAAAAAACTTAAAGTAAAGTGTTCTTAAATTAATTATCATTTCTAAACATATTTGAATTTCCTTATTACTGAAGTTCCTCTGGTATAAGACGACACCCCCTCCCCTCCTTCAACACAAAATTGGGTAGATTTTCTTTGTCTGGGTGAAGGGGAGGGGGAGTGGTGGAACATAGCATATACCAGGGAAATCAACATTTTCAAAAGGCAATTTTTCCTCAGTCTAAGCTTAATTCAAATGCAATATTTGACTTTAAGACTAAGTTACTCAATCATGTTATACACTAGACTTTCGCCTGACGAAAGGCTGGTATGTAAAATTGGGTGTAAAGTAGGGTGTATGCTTATATGCAAGCAGTGATGCTGCCAGCGGGGACAGGGTGGATATTTTCCTCCCACCCCATCAGACAGGTCTGGACCCAGTGGCAGATAAGGATACATTCTCTGGGGAGGGGGATAAGCTCTCTGACAGGGGGTTTGAGCTTGTATGGCTGAGGAGGGGAAAATCCCCTTCCAAACAGAAATTTTTTTACATTTTAAATATGGACCTGTGGATGGCACTTATGACTGCGAAAGACATGTTTTGGCTTGATGTAGTCCTATTTAAAATTTTTTTTTTTTGGTCCGACTGCCCGACAAGCTTGGCCAGTGGGAGACTTGACCGATGGTATGTCTTAAGCCCCCTGCCAACACAGGCGCTGCCACTGCCTGGACCACCTGTCATCCGATGAACAACTAGGTCATCGGATCAAACAATTTTTTAAATTATAATTTGCCTATCACAATAACGTTAATTTGATTGCCAAGCCCCTAATATTGGGGTCTAAAAGCACATTTTGGACCATACTAAGCCATAAAAACTCTCCTCATGAACCCTATCAAATGATTTTTTTTTATTTCGGGCTTTGACCAAGGCTTCATTGGCGAGAGAGCTTTGTTACCCAATACTTCCATTTCAGGTTTTAAACCAATATTTAGCTTGGTTGGGCTTTACAAATAAGTAGTTCCAATACCTCCTAATAAAAATTTGATGAATGTTTAAATATTATTACAAGGCATGTTGTGTCATTATTTAATGGATTGCAGCTAACATGGACAGATATTGATTAGAAATTCTTGAATTACTGTATAATCAAGCAGTTCATACCTCTCTGTTGTTAGCATTTGCCTGTACCAACATATCATTATCTTCAAAACAAGGCTCAGTATAACTTGTTGTTTCATTAAACTGTAGGGAAAACATTAAGTAGTTACTGATTGTATGCACTTTATCGTTGTACAATATAACATTATATATATGATTATTTTATAATTTTTAAAAATATAATAAAACACAATATAATATAATATAAAGTAATTAAAGGCAATTTAAGGTAATATAATACTATAATATATGTAATATAATGTAATATAACACAATATAACTACGTTAAACACGGAAAATCATGTACCCAGGAGGAAATTCTTCTATATTGTTATGATTGCCTTAAAAGTATACAATATTCCGGATCAAGACCCACCACAGCTTCATTAGATTCTTTTTCTCTTATTAATATTTAACCATTATAAAAATGCAAAAAAACAAAAGGATCTTATTAAGTATACCTATTTTGATATTTATTTAATAATATATGTAATATTTCAATTAACCATTCCTTGAGTTGTAAATATTTGTAATCAGTGACTATTATGATATGAAATACTTTAAAAAAATACTATATTGTGCTTATTATATTTTTGTATTTCATTAAAATTTCCAGGTTACAATGCATTAAAAACAATATTATTATTGTATCATGCATCTCTAATGAATTCTGATTTTGATATTATTTGAATTTATTCTCAATTTCTTCTGGCTACTGTAAATGTGTAGGTAGGATAACCAAGATAAGCCAATTGATTATGGAACTAAATACAATCCTTTGGCTACTGACTTATTAACCTAATTACTTAAGTGACGCCTTTTTGGAATTAGCTTATCTTTTGCAAAATAAATATGTACAATTGTAGTAAATGAAGCACATAGTGGTCATGTTTGCAATATAAATAACATAATTAGATAATTATTATTTTTACTTATTAATCTTTGGCATTTCCTGCTACTACGGAACATACAAAGCAGCATGGATCTGCTCAATACCTGCTGGCAGATTGTGTTTAACAAGGAAAATCAACCCCATTTTCAGTCATTTACAACAATTTCATTTCAACAACACAGAGGTGAACATCAACAGTTCTATTGAAAATACTGGTGAATCACCAGCAAAACATTGTGTAATGTAAATGT